TTCATAGCACTAAGTGCTCACATTAAGAAACAGGAGAACAGTTATACCAGAGAATTAACATCACAGCTGAAAGCTCTAGAACACAAAGAAGCAAACTCCCCCAGGAGGAGTAGACACCAGGAAATAATCAAATTGAGGGCTGAAATCAATAAAGTAGAAACCAGGAAAACAATACAAAGAATGCAATGAAGAGTTGGTTCTTTGAGAAAATCAACAAGATAGACAAACCTTTGTCCAAACTTACCAAACAACAGAGAGTGAACACACAAATTAACGAAATCAGAAATGAAAAGGGGGACATAACAACAGACTCTGAGGAAATCCATAGAATCATTAGGTCATACTTTGAAAACCTGTACTCCACAAAATTCGAAAATTTAAAGGAAATGGATGACTTCCTGGATAGCTATTACTTGCCAAAACTAAATCAAGAACAGATAAGCAATTTAAATAGACCTATAACCCCTATGGAAATAGAAGCAGTCATCAAAAGTCTCCCAACCAAAAAAAGTCCAGGTCCAGATGGCCTCAGTGCAGAATTCTACCAGAAATTCAAAGAACAGCTTATACCAATTCTTCTCAAAGTGTTCCACACAATAGAAGCAGAAGGGTCTTTGCCAAACTCTTTCTATGAGGCTTCAATAACCTTGATCCCCAAGCCACACAAAGATACAACTAAGAAAGAGAACTTCAGACCAATATCCCTCATGAACATTGATGCTAAAATACTCAATAAAATACTGGCAAATCGGATCCAAGAACACATCAAAACAATCATTCACCACGATCAAGTAGGTTTCATCCCAGGGATGCAGGGATGGTTCAACATACGAAATTCCATCAACGTAATCCACCATATAAACAAGCTGAAAAACAAAAATCACATGATCATCTCACTAGATACTGAAAAAGCCTTTGACAAAATCCAACGCCCCTTCATGATAAAGGTCTTGGAGAGATCTGGGATAACAGGGACATACTTAAACATAATAAAAGCTATATACAGTAAACCAACAGCCAACATCAAACTAAATGGACAGAAACTCAACACAATTCCTCTAAAATCAGGAATAAAACAAGGCTGTCCACTCTCTCCATACCTTTTCAACATGGTACTTGAAGTTCTAGCTATTGCCATACGACAACAAAGGGGGATCAAGGGGATACAAATTGGGAAGGAAGAAGTCAAACTTTCACTGTTTGCAGACGATATGATAGTTTACATCAATGACCCAAAGAACTCTACCAGGGAACTCTTACAGCTGATTAACACCTTCAGCAAAGTGGCAGGCTACAAGATCAACTCAAGAAAATCAGTAGCCCTACTATATACAGATGATAAAAGGGCTGAAAAAGAAATCAGAGAAACATCACCCTTTACAATTGCCACAAACAACATAAAATACCTTGGGGTAACGCTAACCAAACGAGTGAAAGACCTGTATCGTAAGAACTTTGAATCTTTAAAGAAAGAAATTAAAGAAGCCCTCAGAAAATGGAAAGATCTCCCATGATCTTGGATAGGTAGGATCAATGTAGTAAAAATGGCAATCCTGCCAAAAGCAATCTACAGATTCAATGCAATCCCCATTAAAATCCCAGCACAATTCTTCACAGACCTTGAAAGAACAATAATCAATTTTGTATGGAAAAACAAAAGACCCAGGATAGCCAAAACAACCCTGTTCAACAAGGCAACGTCCGGAGGCATCACCATCCCTGACCTCAAGCTCTATTATAGAGCTATAGTCCTGAAAACAGCTTGGTATTGGCACAAAAATAGACAGGTAGACCAGTGGAATCGAATTGAAACCCCGGGTATTAACCCACACACGTATGAACATCTGATCTTTGACAAAGAAGCTAAAAATATACAATGGAATAAAGAAAGCATCTTCAACAAATGGTGCTGGCATACCTGGAGACTGGCATGTAGAAGAATGCGGATCAATCCATGTTTATCGCCATGCACAAAACTTAAATCCATAGAGAGAAAATGTGGTACATTTACACAATGGAGTACTATTCAGCAGAAAAAAACAATGGAATCATGAGATTCGCAGCCAAATGGATGACACTAGAAGAAACCATTCTGAGTGAGGTAACCCAGTCACAAAAAGAGAAACATGGCATGTACTCTCTCATATATGGATTTTAGACATAGATCTGGGGAGTGCCAGCCTACAATCCTATGGCCAGAGGGTCTGGGAAACAGAAACTTCATTTAGTGGCTGATCGAAGAAGAGGCAGACTCCCTCGGTTAAGTACTGAGCTGAACTCAAGAAAGCCAGTAACAGAGAGGGAGGACTGATGATCAAAGGGATTAAGACTGGGCTGGTTTAACCCCCAGAAACAGCTGACCAGACAAAGGTTAACTCTTGAATCCCAGGCATCAGCCTGGGAATCCAGCATGGGACTGATCAAGACCCCCTGAATGTGGGTGTCAGTGAGGAGGCCTAGGGAATCTATTGAGCCTTGGGCAGCAGATCAGTACCCATCCCAAGTATACACACGGACTTTGGACTCCCATAGAACAATGTGAGGTGCACTCTCACCCTGAACTCTTGGGGAAGGGTCTAGGCCCTGCCCTATATGAAATGACAGACTATGGACACCCCCATGGAGGGCCTCACCCTCCCTGGGGGAATGAGGGGATAATGGGGGGGGCACGGGAGGAGGGGAGGGAAAGGGAGAGGGACCTGGAACTGACTTGTGAAGCAACCTTGTTTCTTATCTAAATTTAAACTGGAAAATAAAATAAAAAAGGACGATATTGATGTAATTACATATATCAAGGACAATATTTGTGGATTTTCATATTTTTTTCTATAACCATACAAAGTTATGCACCAAATTTTAAAATATTTTCTCAATGCAAATGAGCCAAATCAGATTCCAAATTAAGCTGTCATAAAACAATAAATTTATTTTTAAATGGTAGCATCTATTAATTAATAATTCTTTTGATGAAATGCCTCAATATTCCTTTTCTCATTGGCAAGTAACAGGATGATTTAGCTTCTGAGAGACTTGTATGCACCATATTCTGTGTGATTTTGGTCACTTTTGTTGTCTTAGCTTTCATTTTTTCAATTTCTAGACTTATTTAATTAATTATATGTAGTATGTAGAGTGTTTTTTAGAAATATAAAAGATAATGGCTCCCATTATTTTGAGGGGGAGGAGGTTGATGATGAAGGGTATTTTATAAATGCTTAGTTATTTCAATTATTCCAATGGATGTCCATTTTGCTATTGGTTTGTCCTCTCACATGTGGCCATATGGTCTGTTTCTTGTGGTTTAAATATACCATCAATTCTAAAATTCAAAATTCACTGACTCTGTAACTTGCACCATCGTCACATTATCAGGTTCTATTTGCCATCCTGGATTCCTGCTTTTCTAAGTAATGTTAAAAAAATTAATTATGTTGTACTTTCTATTGTTTTAAAGCACTTTTAGCTATGAAAGAATACTGCTGCTTTGTTTCTGCTTATAGTTTCAATTACCTGATGTTGGAATAAAAATGCATGTTTGCACTGTGGAAGGGGCCCTATAATTATTCCACCACCCCTGTTTGTGGCTGCTTATTAGTATGCTCCCCATTGTTTGTCTTGCTTCCACCTCAAATGCTAATTTTAGAGTCCCATTTTCATTATGGAGCACCTGTACAAAAATGTCTAACAATAAGTATACGAGACATCTTGAATCTGTCATGTTTCCCACTTTCCTAATAAGCTCATAACAAAAATCAGTAAATCACTCATTTCATTAGTTATCACTAGTTTCAGTTAACATTCAGACAATGTAAACCGAAGGAGAAGTTGAAAGATTTAAGCAGTTTTCTGAGTAAATGTTACATTTGTAAATATTTAGCACTAACATTTTTTCCAGTTTTCAAGCAAAACTCACAGTTTGCTTAAAATACACAGGTACTATAATTGAGGTCAAAGAGGTCATCTTTTTGTTTGAATCATGTACATAATTGCTTCAATTCTCCACTTCACTTTGTATAAAGTAAGTAATTGAGTGAAATTTCAACTGAACATTTTACTGAAAAAAAATTCAAAAATTAAAAAAAAAGAAAAGCCAAAAAGAGGGGAAATCCACACACAACACCACCAACAACAAAAAAAATCCAAAACAAACAAGAATTAACAATCAGTGGTCATTACTATCCCTCAATATCACTGGTCTTAAATTGCCTATAAAAAGACACAGGTTAACAGAATGGATACGAAGACAGAATCCATCCTTCTGCTGCATACAAGAAACAGACCTCAACTTCAAAGACAGACATTGCCTCAGAGTAAAGAGTTTTGAAAAGATTTTCCAATCAAATGGACCCAAGAAACAAGCAAGTGTAACAATCCTAATATCTAACAAATTAGACTTCAAACTAAAATCCATGAAAAGAGATGAAGAAGGTCATTTCATATTCATCACAGGAAAATTTCATCAAGATGAAGTCTCAATTCTGAACATCTATGACCCAAATATGAAGGCAACCACATTCATAAAAGAAACATTACTAAAGCTCAAATCACAAATAAAGCCTTACACACTTACAGTGGGAGACTTCAACACCCCACTCTCACCACTAGACAGGACCACCAGACAGAAACTTAACAAAGAAACAAAGGAACTGACAGAAGTTTTGACCCAATTGGGTTTAACAGACATCTATAGAACATTCCATCCAAACACAAAAGAATATACCTTCTTCTCAGTGCCACATGGAACCTTTCCTAAAATCGACCACATACTCAAAAACGTAGCATACCTCAACAGATACAAAAAAAATGGAACAACCCTGTAAAGAGAAGCTTTTTCCTTGAGAGAAGCCTTCCCGCCAGCCTGGTTCTAGAGCCACATCAGTCCCAAATAAACACACAGGAGGCTATATTAATGATGAAGCTGTTGGCCTTGCTTGTTTCTTGCTGGCTAGCTCTGATTTAAGTAATTACCCCATAATTGTTAATCTAAGTATTTCTCTTACCGGAGAACTTTCCGTGCTTCCTACCCCATGGCGTTACATCTTGACTCTCTGTGTTTCTCCTTCCCAGAGTATTCCTGGACTCCTAGTCCCATCTATCTAGATTCCTATTGGCCAGCAGTGCTTTATTGAAACAGGACTTCCCCAACATCTCCTCTTTTCTGTTTAAACAAAAGAAAGGTCTTAACTTTAACATAGTCAAATTGTATATAACAGAACAGTTATCAAATAAGAACATAGTTACAATATTTTAGCAAGATTTAAAGAAAATATCATCCATACCATCCTTGTGAGTCCAAAGTTTTATATGTAGCTTATCTCTTATCATAACTAAGGAAAACTATAATTATAACTATCTGTCTTCAACTCTATCAAAGACCTCAGAAGGATAATATGTAAACACTAGAACTGACAGAGACATCTTACTGCCTGGACAGTCACCCGAAGTTCCTCTGTAACGTTGGGGCACCCATCTTCAGCCCATAGGCCACAGTCTGTCTGGAATACTTCTCAGCAAAGCAGGAAATTTCAAAACTGTCCATCTGCATTGAAAGTCTGTCAGTCATTTTTCTTTGCCCTGCAGAAAGTCTTGTAGACTCTTCCATGAAGCAGGAACCCTGAAGGACTATTTGAGTTCAGCAGTCACTTTCCTGTGGGTCCTGCATATCCAGTTTATACTGCAACAGTCAAACAGTACAGGAAAGAGCAGTTTCTTGCCCAAATGGCTAATCTTGCCATGTTGAAAGCAAACTCCATAACGAGTTTCTTCAATGCCCATCTTCCTCTCAGACATAATTGGTGCTGCCAGGAGCAGACATTTCTCATTGTCAAGAAAAACCCTAAATGCCATTTTAAATGCCATTTTCTGAAGGTCTTTGAGAGGTTTGAAGACTGTTTATCTATCTCAAATGTATTTCTGTATATCTAGAAAACCTAACTTACCTAACTATAAATTCTATTATAAGTAACTATCTATAGTCTGTATTCAATTATGCATTATGTCTTAAAAGATCAGTATAAGCACAATACTTAATCAAGAGGAGAAATATACACATCACAAAATTGACCTTGAATTTGTATCAATAAATGAAAAACAATACCCATACCATAATTCCCCTCTTTACCATTAAAAAAAGATTGGCTGTGATCATTAACCAATTATAAACAATCCCATATAAATGGAAACAAATATTTATAAACAAGATGGGAATTAGGACGTCGCTCATTCCAAACTGCTTCGTGCTGGAAGCGGGGGCTGTTCATACCTTGGGGATCATAACAAAACTCAGAAACCTGTATAAGTCCTTATTTTCAGGGTCTGTGAAGCTCCATCATCTTAGCTGTTTCAGTTGTTGGAACACTTGGTCCACTGCTTCCGGGGGTCTTGGTTCATCAAACCACAGAAGCCTGGGAGGAATCCTCAGCTTTTCATTTTCTGTAGAAACATAAACAAAATCTCCTTTCCCAAGTAACATATCCTTATACTTAAACTTTTAAGTCAAGGCATTTTCAAAAGATATAAGTTGAATTAATTCAGCAGCATTTATAATCAAGTGTACTTTAGCAGTTGTTCCTTCCTGAGCAATCAAAAAACTGAAAAACACAATAGCGTACAGTATCCAGACTCTCTGTGTATTTTCCATCTTTACGTGGCTTATTTATTTATCTATTATTACTCTATTTCTTTTACTTTTATTTATTTTTCTTTGAGACAGTATTTCTCTTTGGAAATCTGCCTGCCTCTGCCTCTACAGCAAATCCTACCGGCGGGCGCCACCACAGCAGGGCCGTTTTGTTTTTTTTCTCTCAATCTTACATATATTTTTAAACACACTGTAAACCTTTAGAGGTTTTTCTTCATCCAAGTCTGACTTTACTGTAAATCTTTATGTTTTTCTGGCCACGTGTCTTATCTGTTGAAACCGCAGCTGTTTTAAACTGCCGTTTGTTCCAAGATGGCAGGCGTAAGCGTGACTCCAGCTGCTGGCTTGGAGATGTGGTCACTGCCACTTCCAGCTGTGCGTACACACCTTTCAATCCTTAGCGGAGCCTCTTAAAAGAACCTTGCTGTTTTTTTTTTTTAATGCCGAGTCAGGAAGACTCCCGTAAGCGAGCCACGTGAATCTTGGCTTGTCGCTAGCAAAACAGAGCCCACCTGAGAAAAATGCTGCTACCAAAAAGCCGTGCTTCTCTCTGTCCTTTTGTTTCTAAAATTCCTTTAAAGCTTTTGTCATTCTATGTGGAAATTCAACCCCACTCCTGGTACCATTTGTAAAGAGAAGCTTTTTCCTTGAGAGAAGCCTTCCCGCCAGCCTGGTTCCAGAGCCACATCAGTCCCAAATAAACACACAGGAGGCTATATTAATAATGAAGCTGTTTGCCTTGCTTGTTTCTTGCTGGCTAGCTCTGACTTAAGTAATTACCCAGTAATTGTTAATCTAAGTATTTCTCTTACTGGAGAACTTTCCGTGCTTCCTACCCCATGGCATTACATCTTGACTCTCTGTGTTTCTCCTTCCCAGAGTCCTCCTGGACTCCTAGTCCCACCTATCTAGATTCCTATTGGCCAGCAGTGCTTTATTGAGACAGGACTTCCCCAACACAACCCCCTGTATCTTATCAGATCACCATGGTTTAAAGCCATAATTAAACAAAAGCACAAATTGCAGAAACCCTACAACTCATGGAAAACTGAACAATGTGCTATTTCACCATTCCTGGGTCAAGTAAGAAATAAAAAAAAGAAATTAAAAACTTCTTAGGATTCAAAGAGAGCCGGGCGTTGGTGGCGCACGCCTTTAATCCCAGCACTCGGGAGGCAGAGGCAGGCGGATCTCTGTGAGTTCGAGGCCAGCCTGGTCTACAAAGTGAGTTCCAGGACAGCCTCCAAAGCCACAGAGAAACCCTGTCTCGAAAAAAAACAAACAAACAAAAAAAAGAATTCAAAGAGAATGAAGACAGCAAAATGAAATCAAGGGAACTCCTACAAGCTGATTAACACCTTCATCAAAGTAGCAGGATACAAGATAAACTAAAAAAAATCAGTAGCCATACTATATACAGATGATAAAAGGGCCGAGAAAGAAATCAGAGAAACATCACCCTTTACAATTGCCACAAACAACATAAAATACCTTGGGGTAACGCTAACCAAACAAGTGAAAGACCTGTACCACAAGAACTTTGAGTCTTTAAAGAAAGAAATTAAAGAAGACACCAGGAAATGGAAAGATCTCCCATGCTCTTGGATAGGTAGGATCAATATAGTAAAAATGGCAATCTTGACAAAAGCAATCTACAGATTCAGTGCAATCCCCATCAAAATCCCAACACAAGTCTTCACAGACCTTGAAAGAACAATTCGCAACTTCACATTGAAAAACAAAAATCCAAAACAAAACGGAAAAGCCAAAACAATCCTGTACAATAAAGGAACTTCCGGAGGAATCACCATCCCTGACTTCAAGCTCTATTATAGAGCTATAGTCCTGAAAACAGCTTGGTATTGGCACAAAAATAGACAGGTAGACAAATGGAATCGAATTGAAAGTTCTGAGATTAACAGACACACCTACAAACACTTGATTTTTGACAAAAAGCTAAAATTATACAATGTAAAAAAGAAAGCATCTTCAACAAATGGTGCTGGCATAACTGGATGCTGACATGTAGAAGACTGCAGATAGATCCTTATCTATCACCATGCAAAAAGCCAAATAGATCAAAGACCTCAACATAAATCCAGCCACAATGAACCTGCTAGAAGAGAAAGTGGGAGATACCCTTGAATGAATTGGTACAGGAGACAGCTTCCTGAACATAACTCCAGTAGCACAGACATTGAGTTTGACAATTTATAAATGGGACCTCCAGAAACTGAGAAGCTTCTGTAAGGCAAAGGACACAGTCAAGATGATGAAATGGCAGCCCACAGAATGGGAAAAGATCTTCACCAACCCCACATCTGACAGAGGGTTGATCTCCAAAGTTTACAAAGAACTCAAGAAGCAAGTCTCCAAAACACCAAAGGATCCAATTAAAAAGTGGGCTACAGAACTAAATAGAGAATTCTCAATAGAGGAGTCTAAAACAGCTGAAAGACACTTAAGAAAGTACTCAACATCCTTATCCATCAGGGAAATGCAAATCAAAACAACCATGAGATACCATCTTACAACTGTCAGAATGGCTAAAATCAAAACATCAGTGGCAGTTTATGCTGGAGAGGATGTGGAGAAAGGCAGGACTTCTTCACTGCTGGTGGGATTGCAAACTCTTGTGGTTACTTTGTAAATCAGTATGGCGGTTCCTCAGGAAAATCAGTTTTCCTCAAGACCCAGCAATCCACTCTTGGGCCTATACCTGAAGAATGCACATTCGTACAACAAGGAACAACTATGTTCATAGCAGTGTTGTTTGTAATAGCTAGAACCTGGAAGAAGCCTATATGCACCTCAACTGAAGAATGGATGGAGAAAATGAGGTACATTTACACAATGGAGTATTACTCAGCGGCAAAAAAAATGAAATCTTGGAATTCACAGGCAAGTGGATATAAATCAAGAAACCATCCTGAGCGAGGTAACCCAGTCACAGAAATACAAGCATGGTAGGTACTCACTCTTATATAGATAATAGACATAGAGCAAAGGATTGCCTTCCTTCAATCCACACCGCAAGAAAAGCTAGGAAGCAAGGAGTTCCCTAGAAGAGACATACATGGTCCCCCAGAGAAGGGGAAATGGACAAGAGCTCCTGAGCAAATTGGGAGCACACTCGGGGAACAGGAGATGGAAGTAGGAGAAAGAGAAGGGGAGAAGAGGAAGGGAGAGGAGGACATGAGGGAACAAGAAGATTGAGTAGAGGGAAGAATAGAGGAGAGCAAGAAAAGGATACTATAATAGAGGGACCCATTATAGGTTTAAAGAGAAATCTGACACTAGGGAAATATCCAGAGATTCACAAGTATGACCCCCTATTAAGAATCTAAGCAATAGTGGAGAGGCTACCTTAAATGTCCTTCCCCTACAATGAGATTGATGAGTACCTTAAATGATATCCT